AGTAACGTAGTACGTAGTACGTACGTACGTACGTACGTAACGTAACGTAACGTAACGTACGTACGTACGTACGTACTCGTACGTCGTACTACTCTCTCTCTCTCTCTCTCTCTCTCTCTCTCTCTCTCTCTCTCTCTCTCTCTCTCTCTCTCTCTTCAAGGGAAACAAATGGATGTCATGGACATTTTCGAAAATTTCTCTCTTTCTCTCTCTCTGTCTCTGGATTTACCCATAAACATTTATCTCAAAAAAAAGAGAAGAAAACACGCAGATAAACCCAAGACTGTTTATTACCAAAGCTAAAACTCCATAATGACTTCAAAAGAGGAAAAAGAAAACACAGGAACAAAAATGCGAAGCATACAAGAGGGGGTGGGTTAAGAAACCATTACCTGAAAGAAGAAACTCACCAGTGTAAAGTCCCTGAACCAAGATAAGGATCGCCGAGAGTTAAGCAGTGAGAAATAAAAAACATGCAAAAAAACCCATGAAACCCAAAGAAAACCCACAAAGTAGAGTGGAGAGAGTGACCACAAAGTAGAATGGAGAGAGTGAGAGAGAGAGAGAGAGAGAGAGAGGGAAAAACAGTCGAATACTGATCGCGTGAGCGTAAAGGAAATTACTGACTTGGAGGACGAGACATACCGAAACCAACATGGCAAGTCTCCTACACATGGATGGGTTTTCTATGAGTAAGCAGACTCATACTCTATACATGCAGCCCCGCATTAAACCTAAAAACATTCTTTTAATTTGGGTGTGGTTTTTCTAAGGTTCCAACCTTAAACCATCCAATTAAGGCGCACCTCCAAATTTTAGTACTTTTGGTGCAAAAATTCATAGGATTATCTCAAAATCAAATTTAAACCTAATTATAAAATTTTAGAGTTTCAAAATCAAGTAGATGTATAAATATATGAAAATCTTGAAAATAGACGGTCTAGATAATGTGATGCAAGATGTACTGTTTTTAGGATTCAAAATATTTTCTTTTTTTTCTTTGTCATATTCATACATCTCGACCTCGAGATGATCAATTAGAGGGCTTTTCAACATTAAAACAGCTTTTTCTGATAGAGTTTTGAGGTGCATATGTCGTTCTACACTTGAAGGTTGCACGCTTTTGTGCACTTTTTTTTTTCATCAATAATACTTTTGAACATTTGTCAAAAAAAAAAAGAAAAGGTTGCAACCTTATATAAACTTTTTTCTTTTAATTTAAAGTTGGAAAATTGTTTCATGCAGGCTGGACTGCATTTTTACATATGCAGTTTAGAAAGTATAAAGCATCAATCTTAAAGATGGATGCAAGTAGGTGTTTCATCTAAAAACAATAGAAACTAACGGTCCAAATATTTTTTTTACTATAATTATTATTTTTATTTTTATATTTATGACCTGCTATAGATTACATATCTTTAAAAATTAAATCTTAAAATCCATCTAAAAAATATATTTATTAAGAGGTCAACATTTCTACATGTGCGGGCTTAACTGCATAGAAATCGGATCTTTTAAAATTTGTTGAGATTTATGATATAGGTTAAGATGATCGATCATGAAAAATTAAAATAAAATTTTGATATTTAAAATGTAACTTTTTTTAAAAAAGTATATATCGTATAAAGATTGTGAGTTTTTTACAATGTCCATCTTTAAGTGAGTCGCAAGGGTCTTGCACCCCTTTTGGCTTATAAACGACTTTTTTTTTTTTGGCAAGGACACATTTTCTACTTTTTTCGACCTCTAGGACTCATATGTAAGAGTGATTCTCTTTATAAACTTTTGTTTATTTTTAATTTGGATTTTGGATTTAATTTTTATTAGAATTTGTAAGCATCATCAATAATTACAAATAAAAATTAAAACTAAAAATTATAATGCATGAATAAAATATTTAAGTATTGATTTTTTTTATTAAGGGGCCACTCATTTGCATCTAGATCAATGTTCACAAAATCGAACTGGAACAGTTAATAGGACATGGGCCTGGAAGCGGTTTAATCGGCCTAATTAGTAAACCGGCCAATTCAACTGTTCTAACCGGGAAAGTCCACGGTGGCGAAAAAAGTGATTTTTTTATTTTATTTTAAAAAAGGTAAAATATGAAAAGCATATAAAGAATGATTAAAACAAAATACATTCAAATGAAGTTGAAAATTAATGAGAAAAATTTGATTTTAAAGAATCGATTTGTGCCTAGGGGTATTTATAATGGGAAAGCTTTCGAGGTTCCCCCTACAACATAGAAGTTCTATCCTCTCCTACCATCCAGCAATCCATTTTTTATCAAGAGAGCCACTCACCGTTTGATCTTAGATCCGACGTCTCAAAGTATTTTATTTTTAATTTTTTTAATACAATTTTTTTTAATATGAAATTTGGTACGTTCAATCTTCTCATTGGGATGCACCTATAAAAAATATTAACAATACTTTTTCGATAAAGTATAATCATCAAAATACTCCTTGAACTTTCAAGGGTATTTAGGTCATTTTATTTATCAAAAATATTTTTTTTATATTTTTCGTTAGTGCGAGTTTAATAGAGGAATGGACGTACAAAATTTGGTGTCAAAATAATTTATATAAAAAAATTAAAAATAAAATAGTGTAGAGAAGTGACATTGTGATTGGGGCAATCTTAGCCCTCCATTAAAAAATGGACGGTTGGATAAGGTGGAGGATAGAACTTCTATGTTGTATGGGAAACATAGAAAGCTTTCCCATTTTTAATGACCAAAATAAATTTTAATCTTTACCATAATATAAATAATATTAAAAAATATATTACAAACTAAATTCTTTATTTTTGAAAATTTATATACATTTTTTTGAAATTTTTTTTTAATACCAGCTGATCACCAAAACCAGAACTAGCCATTGACCAATTTCGATTTAATCGGGCAGTTGTCGGTCAAATCGCCCAATTTTTCCGACAGTGATCTAGATGGATGTTTTAGGCGTTTAATAAGTGGGGAGGAAGAACTTCGTTTGTTCACTCAAAATGATCAAATTAATGGAAAACTTTTCACTCGTAAAAATACATAGTACATGGATAAATAGACCTCTTAAGAGCCTTCTAGACTCTTTGTACACCTTTGGAAGTTTTCCCTCTTAACAGACACGCTATTTGCTTGGATTAATTTATAAGAGTACATAAGAAAATTCTGAACTTCACGCATTTTAAATTCAAAATTGCATGTATTGCAGGCTTAGGACTCATCTCTCTCAATTTTAGAATTAACCTTGGAACTCTACAAAATTTTTTAGTACATCCCAAAATTGCTATTCACATGAGTTTCCCCAAATATCCCTCATCTTATATTCAAATGCCCAAAATAACCTTGACCAAAATCAAGCTTATTTCCAACGGATGGACCGTGTAGAAATGCATCCCCTGATAACATTTTCCTTTAAATAGAAGGGTGCAGTTGGCATACAGATGCATCTGTAGGTGTAGAGGTAAGTTGTACTTTCAAATTTTATCATGGCATATAATTTTGATGTAAAATGTTCTTAAGATTATCTCAAAATCTATTTTTATATCTAATTATAAAATTTTAAAATTTAAAAATGGTTAAGCGTATGAAAATCTTGAAAATGGATGGTGTAGATAATATATTGTAAAATGCACTATTTTTTAGACTTGAAATCTTTTTATTTTTTATAGTCGTATATCTCAATGTCGAGATGATCAATAAAAGGGTTTTTCAACATTAAAACTACCTTTTGTGATGGATTTTTGAAGGGCATCCGTAGTTCTACAAAGTAGCATCCTTATATATTTGGATCTCTCAAATTTATTTTTCTTTTCTAAAAAAAAAAAAGTAGCATCCTTATATAAACTTTTTCCTAAATGGAATTGTTTAATCAATCGAAAAATGATCCTCTAGGACCCTCCCCCACCCATGTGCATAAGACCCCAAGGGATTATTATCATTAAATTTAGCACGGATCTCTAAAAACGTCAAGTTCCATACCCATGTGATAATTTTTTAGAGATCCGTGTCAAATTTAATGACGATCCTTTGGAATTCTACACGCATGGGTGGGAGAGAGTCCTACAAGATCATTACACTAATCATAATTAGTAATTATCAAGATTTATATTTTATGTAATATATATTATAGCAATTTTATTTCGGGCACCAAACTTTTTGTTATTCCCACACAAATTACATGAAGGATGATAATAAAACCGTTGATATTTAAGGGAAAAAAATCATAAACATCTTCTATATTAAATGAAATTTGAGAATAATAAAATGATAATTATCATCATCATCTGAGCTTTATAATATAGTATATTAATAAATAATAATATTTGTAATATTCAAATTAAATAGGAAATTCCAAAAGATTTCATGCTTGAAAATGCTTCCTTATCGAGAATTTGCTTCTGAGAAAACCGTCCACTTGGCCTATGTGAATAATTTGAATTGTGATTCTCTATACTGAAAACTAGTGTAAGAAGTGTCCATTTAAAGTGCCCAATTTTTGGAGTAATTACTAGAACCAGTGTTTTAAAACCTGGAATCAAGTTTTGGATTACTTACTCTACTGATCCGCGGCATTAGTGTTTTGTAGAAAAAGATATTTAAAAATAATTGGGGTTGGATACCCAGATCGTCTACCAACCAAATCCGGACTGGCGATTCAAGATTTGGATCACCATGACTATCAAGGTGGTTGAGTAAAGTTCTAATTTCTATTTCTCCTATTACAAAACAATGTAAGGAGTGACCTTTGATATGATTACCAGAGCGCCTTTTGTTTCAAAAAAGAATGATTTTCAATGCTGTTTAACTCATGTTAATGCTCCATAATTAGTCTTAATGACCTCTTTCACAAATTTTATTATTTAAAAAAGTGTTTTCTTTTCCAAAAAAATGGTCATTTATTTCATGCATGCTAAATGCTTCTCCATAATTACTCTTAAAATCCGTTGCAACAAAATTTTAGGCGTGCTAATGATAGTTGTCGACAATGACTCTTAAAAAAGGAATGTTGTAAAGGGAAATTTATCAAAATAACTTAATTTATTAACTATTTAACATTTCACATATTTTCAAGTTTCAACCATTTCAATGCATGGTCATGTGTATTTTGATAGGATTTTTGAAATTAAATGAAAAAAATGATGCAGTGTTAAATGCTTCATATCTTAGATACATTTTGATCAAAGAAAAAGTTTATATAAGGGTGAGGCCCTAACCAATTAAATTAAAGCACACCTAAAAAATTCACTAGAAGAGGTTATCGATCATCTCGACCTACATATATATGGTCATGAGAAAAAATGGATTTCAAGCATCTGAAATAAAACATATTGTAATGCATATTTTTGGGCGGTTGATTTTCAAAATTTTCAACTATTCATAAATGTACACGATTTATATTATTTTTGAAGGCACTAAACCGTTCACATAATCCCTTTTCGTGAAATCTTTAAACTTCCCTTAGTTGAAATATCCATTAATCCAAGGCCTCACGACACTTCTCAAATATCTCCTCTCTCTAAACCTCAAATGGTCCAATACTTGAGGACACTTCTCAATCTCTTTATCTCTACTTGAGGACACTTCTCAATCTCTTTACTCTTTCTATCTCTCTCAATCCAGGGCTTCAAGACACTTCTCTCTCACCTTCATAAATCCAAGACACGTCTCTCTCTCTCTCTCTCTCTCATTCATGCTATAAACTAAAGGACACGGTTTCTATGCAGCCAGGCTGCATATTGTAGAAATACAAGCTTGGCAATAAATATAATTTGATCTAATTTTTAGATAATATATAATCTTAACATGGAGATCATGAATATGAAAAAAAATTTAAAAAAATTTAAAATTGGAAGTAATACTTATATCAAGAAAACATTTGAACCATTAATTGCACTTATTTTTAGATGAACCACCTATTTGCATTCATCTTTAAGATGGATGCTTCATGCCTCTGGACCGCATATTATAGAAAATAGGCAGCCCAGCCGGCATGAAACAATATTTCTAAACTAAATCATGGACAAATATACCACCCCAACTTGCTTTATGCTTGGAAGAGGCAACCATACTCTTCAAAGTCCTTTTTTCTATTTTGTCCATACTCTTCCCAAAAAAAACACACACTTTGTGGTTGAACTATATCTTTCTTTCATGAATATGCTACCCTAACTTGCTTTTTTGGTATGAACGCCTAGCTACTATACCTATAAACTCTCTTTCTCTCTCTCTTCCGCATTTCAATGAAAAGAGTATGCTTGATGGGTGCAGTTGCCCTACGGATGCATCCGTAGCAGTAGTGGTACGGTACACCTTGAAATTTTATCATGATAAATAATTTTTATGTAAAATATTTTTAAGATAATCTCAAAATCTATTTTTATATCTAATTATAAAATTTTAAATTTAAAAAATGGTTCAAATCAAGCTTGAAAATGGACAGTGTAGATATGATATGTTGTACAATGCACTATTTTTAAAACTTAAAATCTTTTTATTTTTCATCGTCATACATCTCGATATCAAGATGATCAATCAAAGGGTTTTTAAACATTAAAACTACCTTTTCTGATGGATTTTTGAAGTGCATCCGTCGCTCTATATTATAAAATTGCAACCTCATATAAACTTTTTCCATGCTCCATTTATATAAATATTTGGCGTTATATCGTTCTCAAGGAAAATTAATCAACAATTTATCATATTCGATATATGGGATTGGGGATGGAAAATCAAGATGGAAAAGGGGAAGATGAAGGCCAAAGAAGAAAGGCCTGCACCTACCAAGGGGAATGAAGGTCGTTTACTATCGGCGGTTCATCCCTGGCTGCTCAAGAAGTGCGTCTCAACTCACAGATCTCCTCAAGGACTGAGCAAGTCGGACGAGTGCCAAAGAATGCTAGGCATATCAGAGAGCTTTCGAAGACCTAAAAAAAAGCCGGTAACAAGTGACCCGATGACATGCTTACCTGACTACAATAAGTCATTTGAGGTCCACACAGACGCATCCCGGTGCTATGCTTACCTGACTACAACAAGCCATTTGAGGTCCACTAAGACACATCGGATTTCGCCAAGAGTACTAATGCAAGAGGGCCACCCAAACCGGAAGCTCAATGAAACGGAAGGATAGACGGTCCAAGAGAAGGACAAGGTATGTTTTATTGGAAATAATGCTCGAGAGGTGTTTTATAAGTAACACATAATTATGAGCTCATACACTTTGCTCCTGCGGGAGCAGGCTATGTATCTACTCCCTTGGTTAAAACTGACTTTTTGAGTCTTTGGCAACCATGTAACAATTACTAAGTGATTATTTTTAAAGGAATAAATTTGAATTTTGTATTTTTGACACTTAGATCCAGCCCTTAAAAAATTGGACGGTCTCTATTAATCTTGAGACATTAACTTTTTTCCAATACATAAAGAGTTTATTTTTATTTTTTTGGCTTGAGATTATTCCATGGGTTGCATTCTCAAATTTTGAGATTTTAAAAGTAACCTAGAATGTATTTTGCCTTAGGGAGTAAATGGATAATATACTCCCGCAAAAGTAGGAAATCTCTAATTATTTCAAGATTAAATACAAAAGAATCTTGTACTACACACATCAGAAACTTCAAAAGACTAGCTCGACCGAGCCAAGCACGCCAACAACAACTCTAGTACTAAAGATCTCAAATATAATGATTTAAATCGATCAATCTCTCTCTCTCTCTCTCTCTCTCTAGAAGAGCTCATATAGAATACTTACATGCTAGTTTAGAGAGAAACTTAAGTATATATGTCTGCATTCTTCACAGCCGACAGCTGGGAAAAGATACTGATGACGATGTTTGCAATCTTCATTGCACCTAGTGTTGGAGCTGAAAGATTATCTTAGTTGAATTCACAAATATGGGTCTTCCTGAAATACTTTTGAAGTTTATCAAAAGTTTTATCTTTAAGCACAAATTTTCTTACATTTTATCCTGACTAACCCTTATCTGATGCTTGCAAAACTCCTCCTCAGCATCCATATAACAAAAACAAATAAAAACATACAATCAGTAGCTAAACATTTCTTCTCTTAAGGTCCACAAGATCCCAAATCTCCAATATGAATACATATGATCACTTCTCATGGCAAAAGAGAATGGCTTGTAGTGAGAGAGAGAGAGAGAGAGAGAGAGAGGAGAGAGTG